GCACTCTACCCAGGGGGACAGCTTGAGGCTCCGTCTCAAAAAAAAAAAAAAAGAATAGTTTCCTTTTACTCCTGCTACTGGTTTAATATCCTTCCCTGATACTTGACCTCCAAAGGGAATCTTTTCCTAACTTCTCTGTATAAAATGTCAACCGCCCAGAGCAGTTGTCTAAGTCCTCCCAGGTGAACCAAGGTACCCCTTTCCTCCCCCACAGGCCTATATGACGACTATGGAGATCATAAGATGAATAGGACCCCAGTGCTCTCTCAGCCTTTTAATGGCATAGCATTCTCCAGCTCTGATGGCTGTGGCTAAAAATACAAACATTAGCCCGGCCTTGTGGCACACACACCTGGAGTCCCACCTACTCCAGAGGCTGAGACAGGAGAATATCTTGAACTAGGAGTTTGAGGTTGCTGTGAGCTAGACTGATTCCTGGGTAACAGAGTAAGACTCCATTTCAAAAGAAAAAAAGTCAAATAATAATAAAATAAATCCTCTACATAGAAAATTATAAAACATTGTAGAAAGTATTTAAAGGATACCTAAATATATGGAAAGATATATTCATGGATTATAAGATTCAGTATTGTGAAGATGTTCCCTAAATTGATCTAATACCAAAAATTATAGCTGACCTATTTGTTGCAATTTTTTAAAAGAAATTGGTAACTCAATCCTAAGATTTATATGGGAATACAATGGATGCAGAACAGCCAAAACAATCTAGAGAATGAAAAATGAAATTGGAAGATAAACTACCTTCCAGACTTACTGTAAAGCTATGGCAATCAAGACATATTGGAAAACACTGGAGAATTCAGAAATAGGCCTATACATACACATGAATTGATTTTCAACTGAGGTGCCAAGTCAGTTCAGTGGTGGGAGAGAAGGATTTGTAAAACATGGTGCTGAAATAACTGCTTAAAATCTACCTACCCCATTTGTGAATAATGATTTGAGATAGATCATGGACCTAAATGCAGTAAGCTAGGACCGTAAAGTTTCCAGAAGAATACATAGGAGACATTTTTATAACCTTAGGGTAGGTAAAGATTTATGAGAGAGGACACAGAAAATATTAACCATAAAAGAAAAAGGGTAAATTAAGCTTCATGAAAATTAAAACATTCATTATGAAAATGAATAGGTAAGCCTTAGATTGGGAAAAAATATTCTTTTTTTTTTTT